CACTCCTTTACAACATACCAAGTCCATTCCTCACTCCTACACTATACTACAAATCCTTCCCTCACCCCTACACAATACTACAAGTCCATCCCTCACCCCTACAAAACATACCAAGTCCATCCTTCACTCTTACACAACATAACTAGTCCTTCCCTCACTCCTACACAACATACCAAGTCGTTCCCGCACTGCTACACAACATACCAAGTCCTTCTCTCACTCCTACACAGCATACCAAGTCCTTCCCCCACTCCTACACAACATACCAAGTCCATCCCTCACTCTTACACAACATACCAAGTCCTTCCCTCACTCTTACACAACATACCAAGTCCTTCCCTCACTCTTACACAACATACCAAGTCCTTACCTCACTCCTACACAACATACCAAGTCCTTCCCTCACTCCTACACAACATACCAAGTCCTTCCTTGCAGAGTTAATCACCATCTATTAAGTCTCTGATTCTTGTTTTTCATTCGACTTCTGAACTGTAATAAATTATGGTCACTGTAAACTACAATTTTCTGGTAGGTGTTGCCAAGATATATGTTAAACTTTTCCAGTGCCATAAGCAGACTCACAGCCTCTTTCTCTATTGTAGAGTAATTCATTGCACAAGCCCCAACATCACTGGTAAAACACAAATTTTACTTACGAACCATTCAAAATCCTGTCTCTGCCTCGTCCAGTTCAACACGACTTCAGTCCATCTGGCAGTCGAACCCGAGGCCTCCATCATCCACAACAGGTACCTTGCCAGTGAGCCACCATACTGTGTTGAATAGTATATACACCAGTGTCAACATTAGATCGGGTCAAAAAGGGCATACATATTTTAAATTGCAATTTAGAATTTGTAATAGTCTAGAAAAGTTGCTCCTATATAAAGTATATCAAACTCCAACATATGGTATTAGTCTTGTATTATTACAGTAAAAGATGGCACCAATTTGCAGCCCTTAACTAATACTGCATAGATCTATCCATACTATTAATACTGAAATGTGCTCCTTAATTTGGGTTACTTTCCCTTAATATCAATATTTTTTTCTTTTTTCCATCAGTATATAATACAGAACATAAGAAAATAAGGAGTCTGCAATAGGCCGGTTGACCTGTGCATGGCAGCTCCTGTCGAGAATTACTACCACTCTCTATCATCCATGAATCTATCTAGCATCCTTTTAAAACTTTCCAGCGTTCCAGCACTTACTACAAAGTTGCTAAGCTTGTTCCACTCGTCAACCACCCTACTTGTGAACCAGTTCCTTCCTATCTCCCTCCTAAACCTAAACTTACCCAACTTAAATCCGTTGCTCCGAGTCCTATCTTGCTCGGATACTATAAGAACTTTATCTATATCTCCTTTATTGATTCCTTTCACCCACTTAAGTACTTCTATCTTATCTCCCAGCACTCTTAGTCTTTCTAGGGAATGCAAGTTTAGTTTATTTAACCTATCTTGATATGGAAGTTTTCTAAGTCCCGGAATCATTTTCGTCATTCATCGCTGCACCGACTTCAGTGAATTGATATCCATTCTATAATAAGGGCACTAGAACTGAACTGCACAATGGAGGTGCAGCCTGACTAGCACAAGATATAGTTGCAATAAGACCTCTGCACTCTTATTACTTACACTTCTAGATATAAATCCTAATACTCTGTTTGTAATGGTCCATGTTTCCTAAACATAAGAATTATATTAATGGGTTAATTACTTTTGATTTATATACTGATTCACGCCCTGTAACTTTCCACTGGCTATGAGGTGACATGTTCAATGCACGTGATAAGGTGTGCCCACGGGAAGCTGCGTCATACTATGCTGAGTAAAGGCATAAAGTAGCCGGCTCTCTGGCCACCTGAAGCGAGCAGTAGCTTGATATCCTCGACTAGAGGAAGACGTTATTTGAGAGCCGCAGTGGATGGCTCCGTCTTC